CAGTATCAGATTGTAAACTCGTCTACATTGCACCCCCCCCCCTCCTAAACCGTCAGCGTGTTATCCTACAAAACCATTTCTGGCATGATGGACGCCGTAACGCAGCACACTGACAGCGTGCTTACTATGCAGTGGCCCTTTAGTGGCGATCTTCAGAGTCCTTTGCAACAATGATGTGGGGTGGTGGGTCCTGAAGTCTCACAATCTGACACTCTGGTAACTAGGGATGTCCGAATGCTTTTCCTCACATGTGAGGACGTTGGCGCGGAGGAGCGTCACTGCTGTGGGTGGCGCACCAGGTGGGGGGTCCTAATGTAGGTGGCCGGCGACTGCCCAGAGGACTCCACCTGGAGCCCCTGCCCACAGCAGTGACGCGATGCTCCTCCGCTCAGCGCTGCCGACGTCCTCACATGCGAGGAAAATCGTTCAGCACCACGATCGAGGCAACAGTAAGACGTGGCCTGGGCTTAGTGTTTTGTGGGAAAACAAGAATCTATTGCTGCAGTGTATTTTATATGTACTGTACTACATATAGAATACATTGCAGCAGTAGATTTACAACTCTGCACTGCTAATATGAAGGGGTTAAATGATCCGTAGCACATAACATGTAGTTGTACTATGGATCATTTAACCCAGTCATGTTAACAGGTCAGATTGTAAATCTATTGCTGCAGTGTATTCTATATGTAGTACATATATAGTACACATTCCCAATACACTGCAGCAATAGATTTACAATCTGACCTGCTAACATGAATGGGTTAAATGATCCGTAGTACAACTACATGTTATGTGCTATGGATCACGATTTAACCCATTCATGTTAGCAGGGGATAATTGTAATTCTATTACTGCAGTGTACTGTATATGTACTATGGGTCATGATTTAACCTATTCACGTTAGCAGGGCAGAATTATGAGCGCCTCCCACAAGCTGAGCAGCATACACCGAGCAGCAGTGACGCGAGGCGAGGTAAGTAAGATGACGCGCTGGCGCTGACTCGAGTATAAGCCGAGGGGGGCACTTTTCACCCAAAAAAATGGGCTGAAAATCTCGGCTTATACTCGAGTATATACGGTAGTTGTACTATGGATCATTTAAAGTCACCTGTCCCTTTAAATAAAAAAAAAGTATCGGTAATTGGTATCGGCAAGTACTTGTACTTGAAAAAAGTGGTATCGGGACATCCCTACTGGTAACTAATGACAGGAATGCAACAGCCACATCTCTGATTAGACAGACCATAATAGACTGACCTGGCTGTGGTGACGTGGTCCTATGTGTGACAGCCAAACATCCATCCAATGAATGAGCGAGGAGTGATAAGAAAAGATTTGTCTTTACTGTTTCCAGGCGACATCACAGAACACAGAAATAATTACAACCTGACTCTCCATCTGTGGCGGACGTGGGACACGAGCGCTCAGGTCCTGTGATGGGTCAAATTTACAAACTCTGAGCCGTGGCCTCGCTATTTTCTCCTAAAACGTTTTCATTCTAAACACAGAACAAACTCCGCCTACAATAAAGACCCGAAGACAAGTACAACGATTTAAAAAAAACACATAAAATAAGTTCGTTGGTAAGTGACAGAATAAGAAGACACCGGTGACACAATACAAAAGGTGGCCACAGCTATCCCAACGATACAGAGCGGCAGTGTCACCCCGTGGATCAAGGATACGATACAGAGAGCGGCAATGTCACCCCGTGGATCAAGGATACGATACAGAGAGCGGCAATGTCACCCCGTGGATCAGGGATACGATACAGAGAGTGGCAGTGTCACTCCGTGGATGTAAGATACGATACAGAGAGCGGCAGTGTCACTCCGTGGATCAAGGATACGATACAGAGAGCGGCAGTGTCACCCCGTGGATCAGGGATATGATACAGAGAGCGGCAGTGTCACCCCGTGGATGTAAGATACATTACAGAGAGCGGCAGTGTCACCCTGTGGATCAGGGATACGATACAGAGAGCGGCAGTGTCACCCCGTGGATGTAAGATACATTACAGAGAGCGGCAGTGTCACCCCGTGGATCAGAGATACGATACAGAGAGCGGCAGTGTCACCCCGTGGATCAGGGATACGATACAGAGAGCGGCAGTGTCACTCCGTGGATGTAAGATACATTACAGAGAGCGGCAATGTCACTCCGTGGATCAGGGATACGATACAGAGAGCGTATCACCCCGTGGATCAGAGATAAAATACAGAGAGCGGCTGTGTCACCCCGTGGATCAGAGATAAAATACAGAGAGCAGCAGTGTCACCCCGTGGATCAGGGATACACTACAGAGAGCGGCAGTGTCACCCCGTGGATCAGAGATAAAATACAGAGAGCAGCAGTGTCACCCCGTGAATCAGAGATAAAATACAGAGAGCGGCAGTGGCACTCCGTGGATCCAAGATAAAATACAGAGAGCGGCAGTGGCACTCCGTGGATGCAAGATACAATACAGGGAGCGGCAGCGTCTCGTGGTGGATGTAAGATACATTAGGGAGCGGCAGTGTCACTCCGTGGACCAGAGATAAAATACAGAGAGCGGCAGCGTCACTCCGTAGATCAGGGATACATTAAAGAGAGCGGCAGTGTCACTCCGTGGATGCAAGATACATTACAGAGAGCGGCAGTGTCACTCCGTGGATGTAAGATACATTACAGAGAGCGGCAGTGTCACTCCGTGGATCAGGGATTCAATACAGAGAGTGGCAGTGTCACTCCGTGGATGTAAGACGCATTAGGGAGCGGCAGTGTCACCCCGTGGATCAGGTATACATTTCAGAGAGTGGCATGGTCACCCCGTGGACCAGGGATACATTAAAGAGAGCGTCAGTGTCATCCCGTGGATCCAAGATAAAATACAGAGAGCGGCAGTGGCACTCTGTGGATCAGGGATACACTACAAAGAGCACCAGTGTCACCCCGAGGACCAGGCATACAATACACAGAGCGGCAGCGTCACCCCGTGGATCAGGGACACAATACACAGAGCGGCAGCGTCACCCCGTGGATCAGGGACACAATACACAGAGCGGCAGCGTCACCCCGTGGATGAGGGACACAATACACAGAGCGGCAGCGTCACCCAGTGGATCAGGGATACAAAACACAGCGCGGCAGTGTCACCCCGTGGATCAGGGATACAAAACACAGCGCGGCAGTGTCACCCGTGGATCAGGGATACAATACACAGAGCGGCAGTGTCACCCCCGTGGATCAGGGATACAATACACAGAGCTTCAAATTTATACATAAAACACAGAACAGGGGACTGGCCACGCTCTTCTTTTTGAAGGTGGTGTATGGTGACCATGTTACAGTACAGGGAGCAGATACAATGATGGAGGATATTGTGGAGCAGCAGTGACACCACCAGGTCATGGAAAACCTTCAATCCTAATACAGTCAGATGGGTCTCCGAGGAGAGATGGCGGCAGGGTGACAGTACGTTAGAGATGCAGTTCTAACAGCCAAATAGACCTCACGCTGGAGACGGTGTAGAGTGGCACTAGGACACGGAACATGGACAGTATAAATACAAGGAGAAGGTGCATGCAGTCATCAGCAGGACCGGGTCCAGCATGAGCTGGGGGTTAGAGCTTCTTGCTGGGTAGTGGCCGGCGGAAGAGCAGGATGTGGGGCTCTGTGGGAAGAAGGACGACAAAGATCAGACATTATACAATAAACATCATATGATATATACAGAATAAGAGAGACATCCCGGGACTCCAGAGACCCCCGACAAAGGACCGCCGCACTATGGCAGAATGTCCCTCTGCTATGGTGAAAGTCAGCATAGAGGTCTACGGGGGCCCACCGATCACAGCAATGACAGCCCAGAGGTCTACGGGGGTCCACCGATCACAGCAATGACAACCCAGAGGTCTACGGGGGTCCACCGATCACAGCAATGACAACCCAGAGGTCTACGGGGGTCCACCGATCACAGCAATGACAACCCAGAGGTCTACGGGGGTCCACCGATCACAGCAATGACAACCCAGAGGTCTACGGGGGCCCACCGATCACAGCAATGACAACCCAGAGGTCTACGGGGCCCAGCGATCACAGCAATGACAACAAAGGGGTCTGCCGATCACAGCAATGACAGCCCAGAGGTCTACGGGGCCCACCGATCACAGCAATGACAGCCCAGAGGTCTACGGGGGTCCACTGATCACTGCAATGACAACCCAGGGGGTCTAACGATCACAACAATGACAACCCAGGGTCTACAGGGGTCCAGGGGAAGACGGTAATGACAATCCAGGAGTCTACAGGGGTTCAGGGGAAGACGGCAATGACAACCCAGGGGAAGACGGCAATGGCAACCCAGGGGAAGACGGCAATGGCAACCCAGGGGAAGACGGCAATGGCAACCCAGGGGGTCAAGGGAAGAAGGCAATGACAACCCAGGGGGTCAAGGGAAGAAGGCAATGACAACCCAGGGGGTCTACGGGGGTCCAAGGGAAGACAGCAATGACAACCCAGGGGGGTCTACGGGGGTCCAAGGGAAGACGGCAATGACAACCCAGGGGGGTCTACGGGGAAGACGGCAATGACAACCCAGAGGTCTACAGGGGTCCAAGGGAAGACAGCAATGACAACCCAGAGTTCCGCAGGGGCCCAGGGGACACAGCAATGACCACCCAGAGGTCTACGGGGGCCCAGGGGACACAGCATTGATATCACAGTCCCATAGGCCCCGGCATTTCAACTCTGACACCTCCTTCCATTTCATCTCAGTACAGGTCTGTGTAAGGACACGTGTGATGAGCCCTGCAGCAGTTACTGCACTCCGCCAGCACAGAGTGCCAATCCACTAATAGAAGGCGGCATTATACGGTCGGAGACTTTATAGCGGACACATTGTCAGTAGAGACGTACACACATGAGTGAGGAGCGCTCACCTGGTTCGTGGATCATGTAGTGCACCCAGCCCTGGCTCTGCTGGACTCCCAGGTTCCTCCACTCCGTCTCGGACATCAGGTGGGTCTTCGGCACCATCTTGGCAATATCCTTTGGCAACATGACGTGCCTGCAAGACAGGAGAAGGTTAGAGATGAAGTGCAAAAAAGTCCTGTCAGAAATCCAGTCAGCTGATACCTTCTTGTGCTGTCCCCAGCTATCTCTGAGGACTACAAAAGACCCCCTCCCCTGTGGTATGGGGATGAAGAAAGCAGGTGTTCTGTCCTAGGGTGCTACCAATGCAGCTGCCACTTCTAAGGACTGGGAGGTATGGAGGGGTGCAGACAGGGGCGGTACTGGTAATATTCTGGTAGGGGGAGGGTTTCGGGCCGTACCGGTACTGGTGGTATTACAGTAGGGAGATGGGTGCGATCCATACAGGTGGCATAATAGTAAGGGGGGCACAGGCCGCACAGGTAGTATTACGGTGGGGTGTGAGGGGGTACAGGCCAGGCCGGACCGGCACTCGTGGTATTATAGTGGTGGAAAC